ATAATTTCTTCATGCTTATTTCTAGCAAAATCACAAAGCTCTCTACTAGTTGGTCTTTGTGATGGATCCACATTCCAACACCTCTCCATCATTTGTGCATAATCTTCAGGCATCACGGGTAGTATTGGTGGTCGTAAACCTTCACATATATCAAAATTTAAACAATAATTGTGAGCTCTATCATCAAATGGTGGATGACCTGCAAATATTTCCCACATTAACATCCCAACACTATAGATATCAGTTTTCTTGGTATTAATTTTGCTTCTAAGTAGCTCGGGTGCAATATATGATACAATTCCATAGACTTTATCTGATGACTTTTCATTAACTAGTCCACATAGTCCCAAATCTGTAATATAACAACCACCTCCTGCCATAAGTATATTACCACTATGTAAATCACAATGGATTAAATCTTTTTCATGTATATCACCTAATGCATGGCATAAATAATAAAAGATTGTGATTCTGTTTTTTAATGTTAAATTTAAATGATTTTTTTGTAAATAACCTCTTAAATTTCCCTCTGATAAATAATTTTAAAAAACTGCATAATTTCCATTATCTGGGAATTTAGTTATACCATAACACTGAACAATTGATGGTGATTTAATTTTACAATAATTCATTGCCTGTAATTAAATATAAAACCAATTAGTATTATATAATATAGTATTGTTTATTTTTGTTTTAAATGACAGCTACCAACCTCACCAAGAAAACCTTTTCCTGAATTATTTGAATCATTTAAACTTTTTAATACCACATTTTGCCTTCCAAGATAACTAAATTCTTTTTTATTTTTGTTGTAATCGTCTATTTGTCCTCTTGTACATGTAGCAGTATAAATTGAACTAAATTCACCTTCAGTTAACTTTGTTACATCATCAAATTGCTCAAAAGGTATCCATTCTAAAATATAGTCTGGCAAAGATGATTTCATTTGACATTGTTGAATAAAACCATCAATTATGTTATTTCCAGATGTCCAAGTGGTGAAAAGACTCTGTAATTGTAAACTAATGCAACCTTCACAGAATCTATCAGAATATCTTGTCAATTTACATTTGTTACATTCTTTTGGTTTGCCCAATTTATATGTTGCATTATTTGATTCAAAATTATAAATAAATCTTTCCTTGCAAGATTCTTTTTCATTTTCAGAAAGCTCCTTGTTTTTTTTTACCAATGAAAAAAAATAATCTTTTCTACTTTCTCTATCAGAATTAACCAGAGCATTATTATACATTTCATTATTAATTTTATATACAAATTTCTTTCTTTCTGGTGATAACAGTTTATTATATGACATTATATAGAAATATAAAATATAAATTTCGACTTGAAAGGTTGCCGTGTTACAGTTCCTTTCTAAATGACGTAATTTTTATATTTTGTGTAATATTTTCCCTATCCAATGATGTTGCTATTTTATTTTATGTTAAATCATCCGATCTTGTGTTGTATGTATAATGTGAAATTGTTTATGAAATGAATGAATGATATATGCACGATAAACTCAGTGCAATTATGGTAACGAATCACAAATCTTGTTGTTCAAGTTTAGTAAACTGAATTGTTGGGGAAGGGTGAGATCAAAATCAAAGGGTAAAACTGTAATGTGTCGTTTTTCTTTTTTTTTTTGCTGCGCTGACTTGACTTGCAAATTGATTTGAAATTAATTTGTTAAAGTTTTCGTTTTCCAAAAATGATGAATGATCGTGGTTATTTTTACATCGTCGCATCATGCGAATTCCCATTTATATCTATTTGTCAACCGAAAAATTATCTATTTTGTTCAAAACTTCAGGGATACTTGATGAAAGGAAATCGTGTTTCGTTTTAGTTTTTTGCATGGTGTTTATCATTAGTTCTTTGTCTTGCTCTGACGTTTCGGACCGTTCAAAATGACCAAAAACTTATGGCCTTGCCCTGGAGCCTTTACCTCAGATTCCAGATCGTCAAAAACTTGTCACGAGACGGGGATTCAAAAACATTTTATTGTCGTTGTTCTACCAGTGACCGATGAACAAACAATACATACAAATTGTTTTTGATTGTTCGTGTTGAACTAAAAAAAAATTTATTAGAGATAGTGGATAATCTGGATAGGAAAAATTTTATTCTTTATTTCCTTTTGGAGAAAATAAATAAAATCCGTTGACTATTAATCTTTGCAACTTTTGATGTTGCATGAAGCTTTATTCTTCTATGGCGATAGACTTGAAAAAATAAAATCCAATTGACCCATCGACCTTTAATCTGGGATGAATAATAAATAAACACGAGGAAAAGATCAGGACAAAAAGATCTTTTTTTTAATTAAAAAAAAAGCTTAGTTGATTTTTTTCTAACAGTCGAAATTTGTAAATAACTTTTGATCACATGTGGTTCTTCTTTGCAAAGGATCTTTATTAAATTTTTCGCTCAGCACAACGAATAGAATAAAAATATTGATATAATAATAATATGACTGGCTAATGTTGATGCTCCGAACAAATATATAGATACCTCGCATTTAAATGTAACATGTAAAGCCAAATCATACATGGAATGCCATTTCGGCACTACGTGTTTCAACCCTCGAATTCGAACGCAACGTAAAAAGCAAAACCAACGCACCGTTTTTTTGGTTCACGAGTGGGGATAGAGGGTCTATTTATATGTTTTTGTTGTAATTTATTAGACTTCTCGATCAATGCCACGAAATAGTCTATTTTTATTAAGATTGCATCATTGATCATGAATGCATGATATGATGCTAAGATGCTTCGCATTCAGTGCTAATTTTGATGCTCCGAACGAATATATATGTATGTGATTGAGCCATGTGATTTTATAATGCCATGACACCTAATCTATATTTCACGAAACTCATTGCAGAGAACTGAATGACGTGCAACAAACAATTTTTTCGTACAACATTTTTTATAGTTTATCTGATTGCCTTTAACTTTTTTCTCTAACATGATTAATTAATTGATAAGGATGTAAATTGAAAAGTGAAAATTGCATTATTTAAAAAAACGGTTTCTTCATCACCAAACTCTAGTGATCGATTTATCGTGATTCAACAATAAAAGGATTCCAGCATTCTTTGAAGATTTAAAAATAGAAAACAAAATTAAAACTTTACAAAACCTGTCAAGTACCTTCAAACTCAAGCACTAAAGACAGTTTAAGCGTGTTTTTATTTTATTATTAATATTATTGTATATTACTGTTAATCCAAAGACAAAATTCGAAAAAACATCAAGTTAATACAATTCGTATGTATGTAAAAGGCCAATATCGACCTGCATATGTGTGTTATATAAACTCGGGTACTAAAGATAATTCAAATGCGGTTTTAAATTTTTTTTATTTTATTGTAATAATAAAAGAAGAAATACTAATAATAGCTTTAATTTGTAAAAAAAAATATTTTTTGGAAGAAATAATTCTTAATTAGTCGAATCTCGATTTCATTCATCAACGGGTCGCTTAACAATTTAGAATGTCCAATATCCAACGTCCACCGCAGTTGGATGTTGAGTTGAATGAAGTAATTTTATCAATCAAAATGATTAGTCAAGTATATACTGTATATTCCAAATATATAAAATATACAATCTAATCACCCCCAAAGGGAAACTACCAGTAGTAAAAACAAGTTTGCTATGTATATATGACCTATCTTCTGGTCTAATTATCTGAAGGTAATAGCAGGCACAATGTTGTACTAATTTATAAAATCAAATCGCTCTCTTCCAGGGTGGGTGGGATAATTAAACCTTTTGAATGGAAATGAAGTAGTGAATCAGATATTGTTTGTAAAAAGAAATGGTTTATATTGTAAGTTTGGGAATAAATTGTAAAATATAGTAATATAATATAATCATTCGTTAACTTTAAATGCATATATATAGACAGACTTGTTTAACACCCGGGTGACTCGTAAGTTATTTGACGGGTAACCTGGTAGGGGTTTTTTAGACGGGTCCAACATCTAGTATTAACCCTTAATATTAATCTATGAAATTTGAGTTGGTGGTGTTGCGTTATGTTACAGTCAAATATGAAAATGATTGATTCCTTAAATTAAGAAATAAATTACTGCTAATCTCTTACATCGAATCTATCACTTGCAAACAAAGTTCACGTCCTATGACGGGAAATCTCCTTGAGTGTAAACCCAACCATTGATAAAAAAAAAATTTTTTTTAACGATGGTTAAATGTTTTGTAGAATATACCATTTTATCAAAAAGTTTGACTTTTATTTAACTAGAATGGTGTATTTTACAAATATTTACTGCATGTTTAACCCAAGCCAAATTTTATTGAACGTTATTAGGAAACTCCAATTTCATCTCTAACAAAGATGTCTTCCTAATATCATTTGATAACTCTACAAAAACCACACGTATTGTTGTATTCCTCAGCGCAAATGACGATCTTGCACCAAGGATACTGGAATTAACGTTGGCGAAAAAAAAAACGGGAAATGTGATCAATCCAACGTTTGTCTTGCAGATTTAGAACTGATTTTTCTAAGACAACATGACTTAAACATTCATTTTGCCAATTTTTGATTACATTCATCCACAATATTACGAATTTTCTTGTATACATGGAAAAAAGGCACACGGAGTCAGTCAAAATCACAAACAGTATACCAACAATACAATAGTAGATCAATGATATTCCGATCATCAAAAGAATTCTAGAAGCTCGATAAATATGCTTTGAATGATGTGTAAAATGTAAAGTCAAAGGGATAATTCCAATCAAAACTATAACGCCACTTTGGCGAGAACCTAATAGACAAAAATTATTTAACTTGTTATAAAATTATCTAGAATTGAAACTAGTTTTTATAGCCAATTAACTTTGTATGTTTGACAGGTAATACAAATTCATCATGAGAATGTCGCCCACATGATCATAAATTTTTTGAATGACGTAAAAAAATGTTTCATCGATTTTGATTTTAAATCATTACAACGTTTCGACTTCATGTATAATTCATCAGATGAATTAAGTATTGGGGATCGTATTACGTCGTTAGAACAACGTTTGGAAAGCTTGCAATCAATAGTAGTTACGAGTGATAAAGTCAATGAAATTGTAAAGGTTGTTGAAAGGTTGCAAGCTGAAGTTGCAGCTTCAAAGGAAAGATTGGAAAACTTACAGAAATTGGAAGAAGATGTAAAGAAAAAACAACTTATGAAACAAAGTTGGACTTGGTTATTTAAGGTTCATATTAATTCACAATTAAACAATTACAAGTTTTTTTCTTCTCTTTTTCATTTAGCAAATTTTTTTTTTTTTTTTTTGCTAATCAATTTTTTTTTTTATATAAATATGATTAAAATCTTTAGATAATAGCAAAACATGTGATTATAAATTCTATAGTAATATTTATAATTTTAACAATAACAATTAGGAAAGGGAAATTACCAATGTTAAAATCTTTTTTTCAACGACAAGGTCTTCGAAAACGCACTAAACAATTGGCAAAGAGTGCGCTTACTGATTTCAAGAATGCTTGATAAAAGAATGGATGATGTGGGTCCTTTTGAGTAATATTATAAGTTTCATTTATGTTAGTTTTCCTAACATTTTAAAGATTATTATTATTAAGATAAATAAGATAAATGATATACATACATTATTAATATTTAATAGATGGTGACGATGCTTTTTAATACTTAATATGAATTTATTTATATATTAGATAGATATTCATGGCATAAAATAATTCTTTATTATACATATATATATAATATAAGTATATACATATACATACCAATATCCTACTCTTAATATTAATCTAATAAAGGTGCATACTTATTATATTATATATAACTTCAAATAATTTTGTAACGAATAGGGATGTTGGTGGAACTTCAATTTAACTCCACCAGCATCTCTAGTTCTAGTTTTGTCATTATTTATTATGACAATTTTTGTCTTCCTGATAAAACATAGTTGAGATCGTTCATTTTACTAAAAATTTCATTGGCTTCTTGGAAATCAACCTGTCGGAGAAATCCAAATTTTTTCTTCACCAAAGGTAAATCTCAAATTGGAATTTAAAATAGGACGATTTTGATTGATGGACATGATTAAATTTAAAGAATTTGGAGTTGCAAAAAAATCTTTATTATTCACTATGATCCGACAATAAAGGAATATAATTATAAAGAAAAAAATTTTGAAATACAACAAGTACATAATTTTTAAAAATAACTTAATATTAATATTTACAAAATTAAAAAATAAAACATTATGAATTATTAATAATATAATATTAGTGGTATTAAAGATAATAAATACAAAAAAATTTCATAGTTATAAATAAAGTAGTTTTATTCAACTTTTTCAAAGATTTTCTGTTGAGAAAGCATCCATATCCGGTTTCTTTAGTCCATAAATTTTCTATCCCCACCCGGATCACTGTAACCACCAATACTACCAAGACCTTTTCTTTTATTGAATAATATGTAACATAATATCGGTGTCACCACAAGTGTTAAAGAAGTGGTCGTTAATAGAAGATAGTATACTTCTCTCGATATGATTCCGTATCCTTTTGCACGACTTCCAAGCACAAACACAAACTCGCTAATTTGAGATAAACCAACAGCCATTTTTGAAGCATGTTGAATAGGATGCCCCAATATCACTAACGCAAGACTACTATTAATAAATTTAAATCCTACAGCTCCCGCAGTAAGTATAAGCAACAGTGGTGCTTCATTAATCAAAAAGCTGGGATAAATGTGAAGTCCTATACTGGCAAAAAATAAACATGAAAACAAATCTTTAATTGGCTCAACCGTGCTGATTGAAGAGTCAATAATATGTCTACAATTGTGTATGAATGTTCCTGCAACAAAGCAACCAATTTCAACGCCAAGACCAAGTGAAAGTGAAAGCTGTGACATCACTAAACATAATGATATTGAGCTAAGAAGGAAAAGTTCGCGGTTTTTGGCTTTTTTGGATGTTCTAAGAATCCAAGCAACTGGAAGTTTGGTGATTAAATAACTTAATCCGAAAAATATCACTAAAGATAAAAACAAATAACCAATAGCTAAAATTGCATCCATTCCAGATTTAGAAAGAGCTGGTAACGCTGCCTATATATATATATTTATAAATAAATAAATTAATCATAAAATTTAAAATCAAAATAAAGTAAAAATAAAATACCAATAAAAGTCCAAACAACATATCTTGCACAACCAATAAACCATATAATGGTTCAAGCTCTTGATATTTCAAACGTTCAACAACAGTTGTACTAGAGAGTGACACACATGCACCAATAAAAATAGATTGATTGATACTTGCACCAATTATGAAACCAGCAAAAATAAAATAGCAAAGGGTTGAACCGAATATCAATAATGTACTGCCAAGTGCAAATTTCAATGAAGATTTAAGTTTTTCAAATGAAAATCCAAGTCCTAACATAAACACAATAAAGACAACTCCTAACTGAGATAGTGTTTCTGTTTGAATTAATTCCTAAAATTATTATCATATTAATTGATATATATATATACATACATACATACATACATACATACATACATACATATATTTGAACCAAAAAAACTTTTATTAATTTATAAAAATACCTGGATTACGTTGTATCCTGCAGGTCCAAGTAAACATCCAGCAACAATATAACCCAAAAATGCTTATCCGGGGTTTAAAAAATATTTTTTAAATATGTAAATAATAAATTAATTAGGTAAATTAGTTTAATAACTAATGTACGTGTGTCTGTACATACACACATTTATACTTGGAATGCAATATATACCTGGTAATCCAATACTATGTGAAATTGAACCAAATACAAAAGATAAAACTATTGTAACAACTATATCTTGTAAAAGTCGTGCATCTGAAATATTTTAATAAAAGAATTAATCATTAAATTGGAATATGGAAAATTTTTCCTTAAAAATACTCCATTGCACCTTACCTTCATAAAAAACAGTTAAATCATGGGGTCTAGTAAGAATGTATTCATTATTGTCACTATCGACTAACCCAACCAACTTGTGATGTGTTTCATCATTATCAGGTGAATCACCTTCTTGCTCATTATTATTTAAAAAGAAATCTTCCTCATCTTTTTCTAATCTAACAACAGTTTCAAGAGATCCATGCACCTTTGGATTGTCAACAAATTTATTATTATTCATTTTTTCTTCAATATTATCAGCAGAATCACTGACTTCTTTTAACATATCATCAACCAAATCCAAAGCTAAATTGTCTTTTTTCTCTTCATTATTTTTATCCTTATTTTTTTGATGATGGTTATTAATTGATTTTTCATTCCTTATGTTTCCATTTGGATGATACTGATTTAATAAATGTTGGAAAAACTCTGTATCATTCATTTTTAATGCAGAGTTGTGAAAAGTTGAAATTAATTCCAGCGTTTCTTTTTTAAAATTAGATTGTGACATTATACCACCATTCTGATATTCTTCAAGAAGTTTAAAAAAATATTCTAATAATCCAAATGTAAGATTCTTTAGTGATTTGATATGATTCAATTCATTACTTATAATATCCATTTCTTCATTTTTTTTCTCTAATGGAATTGAAACATCATGCTTTATAGAATCAAACTTGTCAGAGCTTACACTTAAATATTTGTTATAATTAAGCATGTGAACTGAAAAACATTTTTTTAATGAATTGGCAACCTTAGATGCATATATTTATTATTATTATTATTGTTATTATTATTATTATTATCATCATCATTATCACAGTCAATATAATTTTTTAAATCAAATTTTACCTTTGAATTATTAAGATTCTCTTCATTTGTGTCCAGCGGCACAACCTCAACAACACACATGTAAATTAATAAAATAAAGAAAAGCTGTTTTATAGAAATGTCTAAAAACATCTTTTGTCTATATGTTTCTAATCTATAAATGAACAAATTGAAAAATGCAAAATTGAAAAGTCTTATATACCAGAACCAAAAAACTAGAGTTTTTATTCCACGTTGCAGACCACCACGAATTAAATTTTGGGTGATACAAAATTTTGATTGGCTAATTCGAGTTTCACGCGCGTGAAGGTTTTAATTGTTAATTGTGTAGTGTTGTAAGAATTTGATAAAGGAAAATTTCGTCTTCATTTTTTGAAATTTGATCATTTATTGTTTGTGTCATCTTTTTATTTTTAATTAAACAATTCTTTATCAAATAGTTGGGTTAAAAAATCTGATAATGGTGTTATTTTATTTGAGAAGAAAAATATTTCTCCAAATGTATTTGATGCCATTTTAACATAAAAATTATTTATTTATTTATATATTTACAATGAAATGATTTGAGTTCAAATGAAAGCCTTGAACTTCTTGAAGCATGTGATGAATTAAATTAATTGAAGACATACAAAATTATTTGATAGATCAAACAAAATTTATAGATTTTTCATCACAATATCAATTATAATGAGTTAATTTGTGAAAACCCTGAATTGGTTTTTTTCAATCCTGATAATGGTGGTTATGAGGCCATTGAAAAATCAACAATGTTGTTTATGCTGGAAATTGATTATTTAAAAGTTGAAAATGGAATTGACATCTGAGATCATGGGGAATTGGACAAATAGAAAATTTGGAAAAAGCGATTGAGTTTGTCAATAAATATAAAATCAAAATTAATCAAACTGGAAAAGAACATTTAGGACGAACAAGGATAATATAATTAATTGAAACACGCATATTTAAAGGGTATTGCTCCACTAATTAGATTTAATATGATCCCTTCACATGATTTTAATGAAAAAATCAAAACTTGTAAAGAGGATATTGGTAAGGAAGTTTACAAAGAACCAATTCAATATTATTATCATGTCGATGAATGACAACCATGATTGTTATTACTTCAAAAAGGTCCAAGATTTGAAATATAAATTTGGATTGGTTCTCAAGATGGATTTTGAAGATTAGCTTTGAGAAAAAATGTTATAATATTCAACAAACTGTAATGATAATTATGAAAATTAAAGAAAATGGCGAATTGGTAGGTGATTATAATCCAGTTTGTTGGAATATAAAAGAAATACCTCAAAATGCTATAAAGTAGAATTGCAGATTTTGAATTTACAATAAAGCTACAAACGAGCTGAGCTCAAGCCAACTTGAAATTGTTTTATAAAATCACGATTTTGCAAACCACTGAAAATAATTGAAGCTTGAATTTAGAACATTTAAATCATCATCAATAATTTTATGACAAATTAAAAATTTTCAAATAAGAACAAATTCTTATGTTTTAACAATATCTGTGCTTCTAATAAAAAATGGTTTTTAGGTTCTGGAACATTATACATAACATTTAAAATTCGTTATACCAAAATTACTAATGAATTTTATGTTTTTAAAATTTTATAGTAACGTGAATTTAATTACAACGAGAGGTTTGATTGTATAATGTTTGCTCGGATATTTATTTGTAGATAATTAAAACGATCCTTATTCGTAATAGTAATAATAATAGTAATAGTAGTAGTATTAATATTAATATTAACACTAATTCTTCATCTATTCAAATTACTCGTTTTATTTGTTTTATTCATTTCGTTTTATTCAACTAAACTTCCAATGTGATTCGAATACTCAAATTTATAACGAATAAAACAAATAAACCTTATTCGAATAGAAACCCTAACAACGTCATACTTTTTTTCAATTCATATATAAAATTCATCATCTCCTCCAACCTTTTAAACTCTTATCGTTTCAGGTTCTAAATTACAACGCCTTTGAGTAATTAAGACTGTGCCTCCAGACAAAACTCGTTCAACCGGGACACTGGTTGCCATAATAATAAGTTTATTAGATTAGTAATTAATAAATTTAATTCTAAATAAGCGGAATGCAAAAATTAGAATGCTAGGAACTGTCTAGTAGTTTCTCCGGACGGTTCGGTTTGACTTTTAGAAACCGAAATCGAACTTTTCGGAGCTTTAATTAGAACAATTCCCAACAAAATAAAATTAAGCTCTATCAAGCTATTATATAAGGTCATATTCCTCAATTTAATGTTTTTTTTTTCATTTTTCATGGTGTATTATTAGTCCTGGGATAAATAAAATATGAATTATCATTTATTTGTATGCAGTGTTGGAAATTCGTCGATCTTATGATCTGCAAAAAAAAATTTGTGCACATATGAACACAAGAAATTTTTATTT